TTTTCACCAAGTCAGAAGTTTAAAATCCTTGATTTGGCTTCTAAACACTTTGTTTCTGCGCGTTTTTGCTTCTGAACATGTTTAGAGAACTTCCAGAAGTGATTAGCATAGCAAAACACACGTTTTGGATGAGTTTTGATCAAATTAGAAGTCACACTTTTCTTGTTTGCAACTTCACACGATTTCCTTCCAAACTTCATCATTTCGCACGCTTGGACATTCCATTTGATTCCCTATAAATAGAGGGTCATTCCCCATTCATTTCCTTAAGCTTGGATAAACAGAATCACCCTACCAAACTTGTTCCATAACTCAAAATTCAGCAACTTCGAAGTTCATATACAAGCCTTTTTCAATCCAATTTTTCCATCAATTCAACTTTCTTGATCTTCCCTGAAACTAACCATATAATTACATTCAAGAATCGTGCCATATATTGCTCCATAGAAGTCCAGTTTCAGAGCTCTATAACTCAACTTAAATAGATAGATTCCTTCATCAATTCTTCAAAATTTTGATATCATTGTGATACTCTCATTGCCCTGGTTCTAGTTGCAACAATTGTCTTTCATTGGAAACACGTTTTGACCATAAAATTTCAAATCTCTTTTCAAAATATTCCTTCCAAATTGCTTGAGCTACAATTTATATAAATTTGTCGCGAATGTGTGATTGTCTTCGTCTTGAAGAGACGAAGTGAATGGCATAGGTCTGAGCTTCTGATTTTACAGTTTGAGAGACCTGCAATTCACGTTGGCTGGAGATTGAAGATGACCAACGTGTCACCTTCCAACCAATGAAGGTGTGCCATCTGTTTTTTTCAAAAATCTAATTTAATTAATGATCCTATGCATTATTCACTAAAGTCTATAACATGCACAACGCACCAGGTCCACTTGATCTGTTTACTAACGCGTTTTGACATTGATCAGATGGCCCATATTTTTTTAGTTTTTATTTTATTTTCTAATTTTTATATTTAATTATTTTAAACTACAAAAAATCATAGAAAATTTATTTTAGTCCAAAAAATCTGAAAAAAATATGAAAAATATTTTTGATTATTCTCATTCTAATTTTTATTTTTTCACAATTTAATTTTGTGTTTTGGTATTTTTTATAAATTTTCACTTTATTTGAATTGTTTTAAATGTTTAAAAATACTTTTATGCATTTTTAAGTTCTGAAAAAAATTATAGAATGATCCAATGATATTATGACAAATATTGGTGACCTTACTTATTTTTTATTTCTGACTTTGGTATCTTTTATCATTTTTAGTTTATTTTACTCATTTTTTTTAATTTTAAAAATAGTTTATGACTTTAAAAAATTACCAAAAAATTTATAAAATTATTTGAGTCCTTTTCTAATTTTTCTATGGTCTTACTTTTTATTTATTGATCAATTTGAATATAGTTGATATTTTTCTCTTTTATTTCTATTTTTAAACATTTTTTAAAAAACCTTTTTTGTATATATATTAAATGCAATATTATTTTGTGACTATTTTTTGGCTGATCTTGGGTTAAATTTTTGATCATGAAACTTATTAACATCATTGGATCTATGGTGTTGAGTCTAACTCCACAAAAATGGATGAATGATTTTAATAATAGTTTTTATTAAATTTAATTCAAAAGTGGTTTGTATATTCTCTCCCACCCCTCTTCATCTCATCTCTTTCTTATTGCACTAAGTGTTATTGGAGCATGATCTCTATATCATATCTCAAAACAAATGGTGCATAGATTGCTATTGACCGGCCTTAAAATAGGTGCGACTTCTATATAAGTCCACTTACGATTGCTTAACATAGCGCTAAATTTTGTCCTGATTCGAATAAATGATCATTCGTGGCCCAAACTTATGTTTGCAAGCCCAAGTATGTTAATTTGATCTCTTTGATCCAATAACCTTGAGATTTATTGTGTGGAGGCTTTGGTTCTACCAATCCTCTAATGGATGTACAACACTTTTGGTCAACGCGGATCACTTAAACATTGTTGATCATTAAATGGTACTCATGAGGATTCCAAATGGATGATATACTTGTCAAAAAACAAATGTAACTTGTTGTGTAGAGGCTTTGGTTCTACAAATCCTCTAATGAGTTCCAAATGCAAGTTTCAAGATGATCATCCAACTAACCACTAATCACTAATAATTGACTTTATCCTTTATTTTTATTATATGCCCCCTTTTATTTTTATGCACTATTTACTTTTAACATTTTACATTTCATGCCATTTTCATTTTTGCTCACTTGAGCTTTACTTTTCTTTTTCAAAACACCTAATAATCAACATAAACCCTAAAAATCTTTAAAGATACTTGGACTATTTGGTTACTATCCTTGGTATTATGGAGCATAGAACTTCTTGGACTTAGGATTAAAGACCTTGGCCTATGATTGGAGACCTTGTGACCTTATCTGATTATATTTTCTGGAGCTCTTGAGGTTTACCTCAAGGCATTGGGTTGTTTGTTTGTTTTGTGTGCAGGTTATTGTGATTACACTCTTTATTTGTAATCTGGAATTCACCCGTATGCAGCTGTTACTCTGCCTAATTTTTGTGAAGATTTAATACACTTGAAGTTTGGTTCTTTCAAGAGGTCTAGTATCTTTGCTTGCATGCCTTCAATCCAAAGAATGGAAATTCTATCTTGACTTATAATGTTAAGTGTTGGCTTTTTGTTGGTTAGATGGTTCTTATCCCTAACTTTTACCTTATGCTTTAGGATAGTCCCTTCTTCTCCTCCCATCTTCTTTAATTTCAAAAATCTTCTCTCTCCTTTTGAAAAACTCTTCTTGTTTTTTTTAACTTGAACTACTTTCATAATAAACTTGGACTTAGGTCCATGCATTTTCAAAATATTTTCATAAATAAACTTCAATAAACTTAATAATACATTTGCATCCACACATTGATATAAGTGTTTCAGAATCAACAATATTCTCAAACACATTTGCATCCACATATTAATGGATGTAGAACAACGTCTTCTGATCTTTCTTTCTTAGCGCCTCATGTGCTACCTTCTGTGCCTTTGTTGCGTCTTCTTCTAACAGATTATAGCCATCGGTGACAAGATCTAACACATCTTGAGAACCAAATAACACGCGCATTTGGATCTTCCAACGATTCTAATTTTTTCCATCAAATACTGGAAGCTTGGAATGAATATCGTCGTCATTTCCATTCATCTTCTACCTTGTGCAATTTACGCAGAAACTTAATGAAAACAATGTTTCCCAAATCCCAGAATTTCTATCAATGAAACAATGCTTCCCAAATTTCAGAGTTTCGAACCAGGAGCTCTAGATACCAATTGTTGGTGCACAAGGAAGTTAAAAGGCAAAAAAAATATTTACTGACAACTTCAAAATAAGGATTTACAATGAATTACAATTACCTACTTCACTAGGTTATTTATACACAAAATTAAATCTAAAATATGTCTTCTAATAAAGATATAAGAAGATCTAAGATATATATCTTCTAACAAAGATATAAACAATTTAAAAGATATTATTAAATATAAATTAATGTCTAATTAATTATAAAATCTAAATTAATTCTAACCATTCTTTCGATTTTAGAGTCAATTGATATCACCGTTGAATTCTACGTGCATAAACAAACAAATAATCCTTTAGTAGCCCCGCATAAACAAACAACCTTGACTTCTATGACTTTTGGTCTTGCTATTGAAATGTATGTTGTTTAAAAATGTGTACTTTTTTTTTATGGACGATCTATAATATATTTGGTTTTATCTCCTTAGTCTATACCATTACAATTTATAACTTAATATTTGAAGTTTGATTGAAAAATACTCTTTAAATAATAATGATTTATGATAAATCTTTTATTGGGTTTAATCACTATGAATAGGTGTAAAGTTAATAGTCAAGAATTATAATACTTAATACAAACTTATTTGTTAAATGCAAATTTGATTCTCTATAATGATTGAATGGTGTTGTTCAATCTCAACCACTTATTTTGATGAAATATTGAGAATTATCAATATTATTTAATGCTATTTAATGTATGAATGGTTAAAATTGGAACATCATATAAAATATGAGAAAAATGACAGAAGAGGATCTATATCCTATTAAATGCAAGGAGAATTGATATTTAAGAAAGAGTGTTGATCTCTCTTCTCATTAAGAATTTTTGTTGTTTGATTAGTGATTATATTTTTAATGATGTTACGAAATTATAATCCAAACACTTTAATCTCCCTATTATCTTTCTACAACTTTACAAAAACAAACTCTTAAAATCTTTAACTTGATTAAGATTATAATTAACTATTGTTGAATGACATAATATCACCAAGTGTATGTGAAAATCAATCTTAGTGTCAAATTAGTTAGTAGAAAAGTATTGTTTAAAAATTTTGTCAGGAAATAAATCATTTGTAAATTGTAACCTAATTGCCTTAAACTTCATTATTTGTTTTCCTTACACATACATTAATAAATCTTTTTAATAAAATCAAATTAACATTAAAGATTTAATACTTTTTTGGTCAAATATATTAATATAAGAGTTCTTTTTATTTCTTAATTTAAAAGTTGATGCATATTATTAGTCTATATTTGTAACTATGTGAATGTTAATCAACTAAAAAATATATTCAAACTTGACAAATGAGATTTGACAACGTATAATGTGAATTTAGACGGGACTCGTGCGATAGCACGGATATCTTAGAGCATAAATATCATTGTTTTTTTTTTAAGAAGTATATAATTTTTCCTATTTGTTCATGCAGACGTAATTTGTTGATAGGACCGACGTTTGCTACAAATATGGAGTTAAATGCCAACATGATTTACATGAGACATATACTCAACTGAAAATATGGTAACATACTTAATAATTTAATAATCTATAAATGTAATGTGAATCCAGACGAGACCCGTGTGATAGCACGGGTTTATTACTAGTACATAAATAAAAACTAGTAGTAGTAAATTGAAGATGAGTGTGATGCTAGGCTGTGAGGGACCATGGAAGAAGCCACGTAAATAAACTAGTATTAAGTGTTGTTTCTTCCATAAAGAAACAACACATTGAATGCAATCTAATGCAATGCAATGAATATGGCAAATTGACAATCTCAATAAGCAAATTCAAATTTTCATGTCGATGAGGACAAACGACAACTTAATTATCGTGGTAGTATGGATCCATAAAGCCAAAATGTACGTACGCGGCTTCCTCATAATATACCACACATCCAGCTGTCGCAAATTTGATGCCAATATATTTGCTCTATTCATGGTTTTCAAATAATTGTTGACAACCATGGTTTTTGAACTATGGTACACTACAATAAATAGAAACATTAAATTATAGAAAGATTTACTTTTAAGATTTTTGAAAATCAACTGTTGAAAAAATATTGATTTTAATCTTTCCTCTATATTTTATTGGGTCATTCATTATCAGTCGTGGAGCTAGAAATTTTAGATATATTGGATAAAAAGTTTAACCGCAAGTTACATGTGATATAATATATAAATAGTCATAAAGTATATTAATTTTATTTCTGTTTTTACTAATTTTGCTCTTCATTTTGTCTAAAAATTGACTATTAAATTGAGGGAATATAAAAAAAATAAGGGTTAAGCCCGGGCGCGTGTCTGAGTTCGTTGAACTATAAAACCGCTCCTGATAATTAATAAGATTCACGATGAAAAACTCAATAGTAAATATGAACAGAACATGTACCGAAACGTCATCCTAGTTGAAGGCATGTAATTGTGTCCGTCCTTTAACAAATTTTCTACCATTGGATCTGATTGAACAGTTATTTTATAAGACGTTGGATTTCAGAGAGATAGTTCTAACCGTATGTCATTTTAAATATTTTTTCATTCACATATTCAAACTATTCTCTCACTTATCTATTTACTTGAACATAATAATTTTGAAGATCCACCCCACCCTACCGTATCAAAAGTTTACTCCACTATATATTTGAGCTCAAATCCGTTAAATCGACACCTATATCTACCTTCCTACATTTTCATCTACCCATTTTGTACTATAAATAATCCCACTCACTTGTTCACACTCACACATCTCAACCACATAAGACTCTGAATTTCTCTTATCTCTCTTCTAGTGAGTGTCACTCTAGTTAATTTTCACATAACATAGTAATATAGTTCTATTAATTAAATCTGTTCTCTATATTTCTCTCTGATAGTAAGATGAAGCCAGCATTTGCAGCTCTTCTACTTGTGTGTCTTATTCTCTCCTCATCTATGTTTGAAATCACAGCACTTGGTGTTGGTATGTTCAAACCTCATTTTCTAGATGTATTAACTAAGCTGGTTTAAGGAGAGTTTACTACTTTATAAACATAATTAACAATAGTAACTATTAATTGATGGATATGAATCAGGTGCAGGTAGTTTCTGCTCGGCAAAATGCAGACAGAGGTGCTCGAAAGCTGGGAGGAGAGACATGTGCTTGAATTTCTGTGGAATTTGTTGCAGTAAGTGTAAGTGTGTGCCATCAGGGACATATGGTAACAAACATGAGTGTCCTTGTTACAGAGACATGAGAAACTCAAAGGGAAATCCAAAATGCCCTTAATTCACTTCTTCAATACCATCTTATGAAACATAATTGGTCTTCATAGTTGATCAGTTTTTATCAGAATGGGAATAAATATGGATCTCTATGTATGTGTAATGTGTTAATCCGGCTCTATGCTGTTTTTTTTAGGTAATAAAACTAGTACTTTCATTCTCATTATTTTGCTTCTTAATCTCTTCTTAACTAGTGCTGTTTCTGTCGGTTTTGAAGTAACATTTATTCCACTCACATATAAAATTATTTGCGATGGTTATGTTTTATATAATTTATATAAAAAATTTAATTTAAAATTTTAATTTAATCCGATCCGATAAAGTTAAATTTAAATTATTTTTAGATATTCAAATTATAAATTATAAATTTTTTATTAATATAAAATTTATTAAAATACTATTAAATAATAAATTTAAATTAATATATATTATATAATATATTAAAAGTTAAAATTACAAAATAGAAACAATGGGTTATATTTGAAAATAAATAAACTAAACTAATAAATAATATTAAAATAAATTAATTATCAAAGAATAATAATATTTTACACAAATAAAAATAAATAAATATTAAAATATATACAAGTGGTTTATTTAGGTTTGAATCGGTTTGAATAATTAATCTAAAATACATATGATTTTAGAGATTTTCAGAAGAAAAAGAATCTAAAACCAATCCAAAATTATTAGAGTTTTTGTTGTTTTTGTTTTATTTTTATTAATTTGCAGTTTTAATTTTTATTTGGATTGATTTAAATTTGAACACCTCTAATAATTAATAGTTAAAGTATTGGTTAATTAATTAAAAAAAAAAATAGATCAATCAATTTGATTTGAATTAGAAGGATATAAGCTATTGATATAGACTTCAATCCTCCATAGCTGTTAACATTTCTTTGAATCAGTCGCTGTAACATTTATTTGTATGTGTTAGGTAGATGGTAAGAATTTAAACTTATAAATTCTATTAAATATCCTCAAAAACAGAAGTAAAAATGAGACACAATTTTTACACTGAAGTTGCAAACATATATATTGTGTCCAATGCGCCTAAAATTGCGATCAGAGTAGAGATCTCTAAAATCTTTACATTACACAAAAAAAAATAGTTGTAGATTTCAATTTAGAACTATGAGCCTAACTATTGAATAATCTCCTCACTCTATGAAGAAGCCTCCTGCATACAGGACAAACCTTACTGTCCCCATTCACAATCCTGCAAATAAAAAACACTAATCAGAATCTCATACAATTCCAAATTTTATGCATGAACATAACTAAAACCGAACCGACACGAAATTTGACAAAATCACGATGACACTCTCACTTTATTAAATTCGAAACATAGTTTTCGCCAAAATTGACGTGCCACATTGTATTCTGTCAAATTCACCGTCGATATAATAACAATAACGCAATTAGTGTATACCTTTGTGCACAATCATAGCAAGTAGCACAATGACCACAAGGAACAAAGAAACAATTTCTCTGCTCATCATAACAAATTATGCACAATTTTTCATTGTATAACTCTTCTGAAGAACTACTTGACACATCTGATTCTGAATCACATTCTTCCTTTTCATGAAATTTGTTTGTTCCATATGTCACTATATTCGTCTGCGCACTTACGAGAGGTTCGGTTTCGGTTACTTCTTGCTGTGCAACTACATTGTTATTGTCACCATCACCATCTCCAAGGCATTTCAATATTAGAAAAATCACTATCATGAAAATTCCTTCAAAATCAAAAAGATAAAAAGTCACATACAGAAAAAAGTACTTCACAAAAAATGTTAAAATTAATTGAACTTACCTAGAAGAATTATGTAGGAAAAAACACGAGCTAAAAAAGAAACTTCAACAAACCATGCATCACCATCATCATTATTTTCCTGTAGTGAATTCATACATAAACCATGATGAATTTTTCATTGAAAAATTATGCATTAAGATTGTTGTATAATAGGAATTAAATAGTCTTACATTATTTGGTGATGTGAGAAGCACATAATATGTGATAGGGAAAAAAGTGCCAAGTTTGCATGATCCATTCCTAGTAGAGCACATATTTGTTGACTTTGTAGTATCATATATCTTTGCAGAAACATTGACATTCATGGTCAAGATTATGTTCCTTGGATTCATGTTTAGAACACCAATGTGGTATCTATCATCTTCCTCAACAATGTATTCAGCTTCTTTACCTTCAAGTTGAGTTAATAAACTAAAATTGATTAGAACTGCAAATGAAAAGTTGCATGCTAATGCAAAGAGTCTAAACACTTCTTATAGTGAGTAATAGGGATGTCAAACGGACATGCAGTCCTCCTTAAATTCGTAATACAAATAAAACAAAGTGAGATGGATATAGTTGAGAGTACGGACCTAAAATTTTTATCTTTTAAAAAATATATATAAATGTCGTGGACCTGTACACCTCTAAAATTGCAACAAAAAAAAATCTATGTAAATGCCGCGCCCAAAAAAATTAAGGGGCAGGGAAGGGCGGAAAAATTAGAGAATATAGTCCTAAAATTTTGCTCTAACCTCAAAAAGATGAGGATAAAACAGAACACTTTATAGATGGACGTTATTGGTCAATATGTAGAAGACGGAGACGGAGACGACATCTCTTATTACTCCGATGTAGCTCAAAGCTAACAAGACTAATTGAGTTCAAAGTCATTCAAAGTAAACAAATGTAGATTTCAACATAATTAAGACTCAGAATAGTCTTTAAGAGTCAACAAAGTGTGTTACATAGCACAATCTATCCGCGGCAAAATAGAATTTATTTTATCTAAGTTGAACCGTTGCTAACCTATACGATGCCTCCAAAAACTTAAAAAACGGTTTTATTTATAATAGTAGAATTGAATTAGTCACTTACCATTGTTGGTCTCTCTAACAACCATTGGCATTGCCTCGGGGAAGGTAGTTTGTTTAGGCTTTAGTTTTTCATACTTCCTTTCTCCTGTGAAACAAGAATGAATCTTTCATTAGAAAAATTAGATTCTTGAATAATAACATAATAAAAACAAGATTACAAAGAAATAATAACAACCTTTAATCACCATCCCTTCAAGTTGATTTAAACTACCAGCATCTGCTTCCCACCTCAAAAATATAGTAGAGCCTTTATTTAACCACAAAGAAATTCCCTATAAAAAAATTGAAAATAAATCTTCATATGTAACAATACAACATTATTTTATATAAAGTCCAAAAAAATAAAAAACAAAAAATTGTTACCTTGCGATTATATGGTTGAAGAGCTAAGAACTTGGACGTAGTCCAATTTATTTGTGAACTTAACTGAGGTTTCTCATTGAAAGCGTAAAGATGAACATCACTTCTATTAGTATACTCATTGGTTACTTGAATTTGTTCGACAAAAATCGAGCTTGCTATTACCAAACGCGATGAACTTGGACCAAGAATCAAATGAGAATCGCCATAGAATCCATATAAAAGACTAGCTGAAACACAAAAATAAATTGAGAGGGTTGCAAGAATGAATGGCCAAGTTTCTTGCCATGCAATAGCATGAGATTGAGTTGGATATATTGGAATTGGATCCATTAAGGATTGGTATGTTGCTGGATTGGAGAGTGGTAACCATAGTGATCTATGCATTGAGATTGAGATTGAGATTGAGATTTAGAATTTTCCTTGTGGTGAATTGTGACTTGCATAACAACATAGAATATTGAATAAGAGGGAGAAAGAAAGAGAAGACTTGTAGTTGAGAAAAAAGAATTAGAATTATAAATTTGTTTGTTTGTTTGTTACTATTAGCTAGCTAGAGTTCTATACTTAACAAACCAACTACCAACCGTTTTGTGGTAGGAATGTTGGTGGCTGTTTGACTGGCAAGTATGTATTTCAAATTTCAAGTGTCAAATTTGTATAAAATATGATGAAATGAATTTTTATAAAATTTGAAGAAGAAATTAAGGAATTAGTGTTACAATTTTTAGGGAGAATTTATTTTTGGCTTTATAGTTTGACATGTTGATAACTGATTTACATCTAAATATAATTATTTTTAAAAAGATAGAATACCAAATTAACAACAAAAGATTTATCATTTAATTAAATTATATTTAATTTCACTTTTTATATTTTATACTTATATTTTTGTGAATAATACTATTAAAAGAAACGAAGAGAATGATTTTGAAAATACATATGATTTGAGAAAAAAACTAAGTGTGTAACAATTTTATATTATTTTAATGATAATCTTTTCGATCGGAGTTGTGAGAGATTGAATTTATATTCTCTTTATTAAATTTAGCATCAATTCTTACAAAATCAACTAATGATTAATATGTATAACTTATATGCGATACAATGCAACTCATAAAACATAAAATCTAGGAGAGAAAACTTGCACCCTGTGACAAAACATCATAATGGTCCTTTTATTGGGATAAAATTGACAAATCAATTTCTTTCGTACAAAATCAACTACACTCTCAAAATCAAGAAATGTGACTTCAAAGAATTGAATCCAATAAATTGAATCACTTTTTTAAATGAGATCCGAATAAATTGAATTACGTCATAGCCGTGCGTTGAAGGCAATAGAACATTGAACCATTCGGTTAGTACTAATAGCTTTAGCTTTGTTTTGTTTGGCAAGGTTTTCGAAAATAAGTTTTAAAAAATATATAAAAAGTTATTTGATATTTTTTTTAAAATAATTTTATATAAAATAATTTAAAAAGTTATTTATCGTCATTATATTTTTAAATTTTAGAATATTATAATAACATATAAGATATTCAAAAAATTTATGTAAATCCCTCAAAATACTACTTAATATAAATTTAGAGGTTCTCAAATTAGAGATTTTAGGTATTATGAATTTAAAAAAATCCTCTAAAATTTTTCTAACTAAAATATTTCAATTCTTTCTATTTCATTCTTTTCTTTTTTCAAACCTCTTTTCCCTTCTTTTCGAAACTCTCAAACACACTCTTATTAAATGACATTTCACCACAACAACGACTTTACTGATCATCAAGTTTTTTTAAACAAAAGTTTATAATAGTTTAATTTTAAAGATACATTGTACTTAGAGGTGTTCTCATCTTGGATGAGATTGAATTTGGAGTTAAGTTAAATTCTCAATTCTTACGTTTAAAATGGTATCGGGTCTTAAGATTAATATGAGCAAAAGTAAGTTATATAGGATAGAGTTGGATAATTATTTTCTACAGGCTGCATCTCAATTCTTAGCTTGCAAAATTGATAGTATATTTTTTGTAAGTGTTTGTTGGTAGCAATTTTGGTAAAATAATGACTTGATAATATTTTGCTAAATGTCTTGACATTTGAAGTAAACTATTTTGAATGATGTTAAAGTAGATGTCTTGACATCTGCCTCCTGAGCTGAACGCAACTACATATCTGTTTAAGTTTTCTGTTTCGTATTTTTATGCGCGCCATTATTCAGGATTTGTGACTCATAGCTTACGGAAAATATGGAGGAATATTTTTCTATTTGAATTATCCTTATGGATTATATCTTGGCCTGTTTTCATGAAAATATTCAAAAGATTGAAATATTTGTTTTTCAGCCCAAGCCCACTGCTGCGCCTTTATAAGGATTTGCTTCCTTATTCAAAAAACTCTAACTTTTAAAGAAGAATACATTCTTTTTGTTTTAGAAGTCTAAGTCTTTCTAATTATAATACACTTTAAGTATTGGTTTAATACTTGAGTTGTAATTTGAGTTGTTAATTATGCATCATTCATAAGCTTTTAAGTATTGAATGGTTGAAGTCTTTAAAACTTAATAATTATGTTGTTCTTCACTGTTAGTGATTGAAGGGATTTGAGGAGGGCCTCATGCATAGGTGTGTCTTAGATAGAAGTATAGCATGGGTAGTGATTAAGTGATTAAATCGTAAAGTGGTTGTTTACTGAGGGTCTATGAATTAATACTATTTAGTGAACTTGTCCCTGGCTTGGTAGCCCCTAGAGTAAGTGTTGTTGTACACTGAACTGGGTTAACAATCCTTTGTATTTTTACTGTTTTTATTATTGTTGTACTTTACATTATCTTCAGATATTTGTGTCGTGACATCTCCTTCGATATCACATATCTGATACCAGAATTTCAATTGGTATCAGAGCAGACATCCTACTCAATATCTGGGTGAGATATAGGGAAGAAACTTTCTGGTACTATAGACAATGAAGGAGGATTTGTAAACAGACCACCTATTATGGATGGAAGTAATTATGACTATTGGAAACCATGTATGGTGGCCTTTTTAAAGTCTCTGGACAGTAGAGCTTGGAAATCTGTCTTAAAAGGATGGAAACACCCTGTCAAATTGGGATAAAATGGAGAACCTACTTCTGAGTTAAAACCAGAAGAAGATTGGTTTAAAGAAGAAGATGAAATTGCTCTTGGAAATTCTAAAGCCTTGAATGCTATATTCAATGGAATTGACAAGAATATTTTCAAATTAGTGAACACATGTGAAGTAGCTAAAGATGCATGGGGAATTCTCCAATCTACTTATGAAGGCACATCCAAGTTTAATATGTCAAGACTTCAGTTGCTCACCACAAATTTTGAAAATTTGAGAATGAAGGATGATGAAAGTATTAATGATTTCCATATGAACATTCTTGAGATTGTTAATGCATTCAGTGCTTTAGGAGAGAAAATACCTGAAGACAAATTGGTGAGAAAGATGCTCAGGTCTCTTCCCAAGAGATTTGATATGAAAGTGAGTGCTATAGAATAAGCTCAAGATATTGATAAAATGAAAGTGGATGAACTTGTTGGATCTCTTCTGACATTTAAATTAAGCATCAATGAAATATCTGAAAAGAAGAACAAAATCATAGTCTTTGTATCAAATGCTGAAGATGAAGAGGAAGATTGTGATCTGGATGGAGGAATATCAAATGCCTTAGTTATGCTTGGAAGACAGTTTAACGAAGTGATAAAAAAATGGATAGGAACTCAAGATCAAATATCAAGGACATCTCATCTGACATCCATAAGTCAGATGAGTTTGGAAGAAAAATGGCTGAAGAAAAATCCACTCAAGGGAAGGGAATACAATGTCATGAATGTGAAGGCTTTAGTGACATTAATGTTGAATGTCCTGCATATCTTAAGAAACAGAAGAATCTATATGTTATTTGGTCTTAAGAGGACTCAGAGAGTGATCTTGAAGAATCTTCCAAACATGTTAAAGCATTGACAGACAAATATGTCTTTGATGAAGAGTCTAGTGATGGGGAACTAACCTTTGATGAGTTAGCGGCTTCATACAAAGAATTATGCCTTAGAAGTGCAGAAGTGTGCCAAGAATGGGAGAAACAGAAAGTCCTCATAACTCAACTGAAGGCAGAAAGGGAAGAGCATCTGAAAACTATTTCTAATCTGGAAAGTGAAGTAACTTTTATTAATCGTAAATATTGTCTGAAACAAAACGGGGGAACCCTTACAAGTAACCCCTATGTCTCGGGCTTGACATAGGTTCTTTCAAAAACAAGAAAAATTACTTAGGAAAGAAAAAGATCTCAGGAATCTCCACGGCAGTCCATCTTTTGAGTTCTTCTCTTGGGGCGCATTCTCGGATGAAGTTAGTTTCCCCTTTGGTGTTAGCTTTATTGGATATCTTCGCCACATGTCCTCCATGCTTTATTCCCTTGTTGACAAAGGTTTCTTGGATTTGAGGGACCCATGCTTTATCCTTTAGAGTAGCTACATATCTTTCTTCAGGGTATGGTCCGAATTGGACTATCCCCTGGTCCACTGGATTTTGTAGCATTCTCTCGAAAGCTTCACTGTGTTCTAGCAGGAACCCATATCCCAACAGATATTCCTTCAGCAAGTTTATCGGGGTTTTTGCTCGTTTGGTTGCCCCAGAGTCAGTGACTACTCAAATTGTATTTATTATCGGCCCATCGTGCGAAGGAATAGGGTCTGATTTGATGTTAGGCTTCTCGAAAGTGATGTCTTGGAATTCTAACAAATCTTGGACCTTATGCTTGAATGGTCAACATTGCTCTATGGCATGTTCAGGAGACTTAGCATGATACTCACATCTGGCGTTGGCATCGTATCTTCGTGGGAGTGGCCCGACTAGAGGAGTTAGAAGCTTGATTTCCACTAAGGATGCCTTAACTAGCTGTTGTAATAACTAACTGGGTGGCATTGTGAGTGGATTAAATTTTTCTGGGTGGCATTCTGCCTTCCTGCTGCCTTTGTAGGATCACTAATGGTTGTTGTACCCTGGGTTGTGACGCTACAGCATTAATTTCTCCCTCTCTTCCTTTGGGGAAGTTTGAAGCAGGCCTCTTTGAATTATAGGGAGCATTTGATAGTCCCCCTGATATCTTCCCACTTTTTATCCCAGTCTCGATTCTTTCTCTGATAGTCACTAGGTCTGAGAACCCCGAGGAGATACTTTCGACCATCTTCTCATAACACAGCCCTTGCAAAGTCCCCATGAATGTGTTTACTAATTCCTTCTCTAATAATGGCGGTTGCACGCGGGATACTAACTCCCTCCATCTCTGAGCATACTCTTTGAAGGATTCTTCTTTCTTCTGGGACAGGTTCTGGAGTTACATGCGGGTAGGCGCCATGTCCAGGT